AGCATCTCTAATAGTTGCTAATATAACATTAGTCATGTTGTTGTCGCAGCCATCAAGATCAATCATCTCAAATATGAGGTCGTATTTTATAGCGGCTGTAGAGTTGCGGATGCAGTGATTAGAAAGTCGTCTGATTGTAACTTTCATTGTCGGGGCTTGATGAGGATCAACTATCCATTGTGATTTTTAGACAGCCTACAGTTTAGAATTAATGTAAGTGTTTTACAATTAATTATTGAACATTCATAATATAACATCACCTAAATATTCTCAAATTGTTTTTCATAATATAACATCACCTAAATATTCTCAAATTGTTTGGCTTAGGTTGAAAAATCACTTCTTGATGGCACTACATTACCAGATGACCTAAATATTCTCAAATTGTTTGGCTTAGGTTGAAAAATCACTTCTTGATGGCACTACATTACCAGATGAAATTATTATTCATGCACAACGTCATTATCATGAAGTGAGACGTTATAATGAGCATTTGGTCATGTAAGGATCATGAATTTTGATACTAGTTAAAATATTTTTTTTAGTATTTTAAAATATTTAATTATGATTTTTAAAAGAGTATTTGTATTTTTCTTGAATTTCTATAATTTTCTATGATTTAAAGTCTAAGTTTTATATTTATTTTAATGATATTAATATTTATAAATTAATTTTATGCGGTGAAAATTTAGGGAATTTATCTGTTGCGTTATTGATACTATTACGTATCATTTTGAATAATATGATGTATTATTATTATTATTTCATATTATTTTGTATAATATGTAGTATTATTAATTAGGTATTATTTGTATAAATTGTTGTATTATTTCAATTATCGTGTATCAGCTATCGTATTAGCACAAATGGTACGTTTTATTGTATAGATAATTATCCCATAATTATTTAATTTTAAAAAATAAGTAATTATATTTTTATTATTAATTATTCTTATTTAATTGTACAATATGGGTATATTTCGACTATTTCGTATCAACTGTTGTATTCGCACAACATGTACGTTTTTATTTGTAGATAATTATTTCATAATTAGTTTAATTTTTGAGTACACGTAATTATTTATTTTAATTATTTTTGATTAAATTCCCTAACCCTAACCCTATATTATATATATATATTATATAAACTCTTCCTCCTCTCTCCCTCTCGTGTTAACCCCGCCGCCCACTCTCTCTCCTCTTCTTCCCGCTGCCTATCTTCACATCCAAAACCGCTCCCGCGATTTCGCCGCTGAACCGCCGCTAGCGAGCCCCGCCCAGTACGTGCCGCTCTGCCTTCATCCACCGCCTTGAAACTCCGCCGCTGCCCTTCATCATCGCCGACTGCCTGCAGCGCCTTGCTCTGTCGTCGCCACGCAATAACCCCTATCAGATCCCCTCCGCTCCACCCTCAAACAGTGCTCCTCTATAACACCGCCAGCGCCACACCTAGCCGACCGGCCTCCTCCAGCCATAGCCGGGCTCGCCGCCGAAGCCCACCCGACAGTACCCTCTCCTCTCTCTGTCGGCCGCCGCGACACCAGTCGGAGGCTCGCAGCCCACCTTCGCCCACAGGCCAGCGGCAGCCGCTGCTCTCCCACCTTCTCGCTCCTGCAGCCCAATCCAGCACCCCGCGCCGTCCCGCGTCCCGCAACTTCGCCGACGACCCCAGATCCAAGCTCAGCCCGACGCCCGCTGCCCACTGTAGTGACGACGTCCCTCCCCACTGTCCCCTTTAGCCGTCGCCACAACCGCCGCTCATCGACGCCGTCGACGTTCATCCCCGTCACCTCTCAGATCTAAACCGTCATCCGCTACATCGCTGAGGTCCCCGTCGACATCGAATCATTCGACGAACCCGTAGGCAAGATCCCGCTTCCTGTTTCGTAGTTTGAATATTTATATTTATTATGAATTATTTGCATAGTTTAATTATGATTTGTTATTATCTGCGTGGGACTGTTGATGACGATATTAAAGGATTTCAAATGATAAATTAATGTTTTGTAGATTAATTAGAATTATTATGATGAGAAAAGAGATTATTTGAAAAAAAAGTTAGTTTTGAATAATTATTAAATAGATAATCTAAAATAATTTATTTTGGAAAAATAGATTATTTGAATTGTTAAACTATTTTGAGAAAAGATTATTTTCAGAATAATTATAATGAATTGAAAGAATTTAATTCGGCAAAAGAATATTTTTTTAAGATAATTATAATAATTTAAATGAATTTATTTTGAAAAAGGATTTATGTTGAATTAGTATATGAGAAAATAATTTAAAGAATTTATTCTGGAAAAGAGAATGTTTTGGATTATTATAATGAGAAATAATTTTAAAAGAAATTATTTTGAAAAAGGAATTATTTTCTGAATTACATAGTTGCTGTTTATGGTCACATTTCACGTTTTGCAGTTATTTAATGTATTTTGACATGTCTGCTATGTATTATCCATCTTGTGATTGAGAACCATTAGTAGTTCATGACTTAGTGACCTCGTGCGTCATGAACAGACTTAGTGACATGTGTGAGTGTGTTGACTGAGTTTAGGTGGTGAACCCGAGTTTCAATGTGGATTATGTTTGACTTAGAAAAACAAGAAGAGTGGGGATGGGGAAGTCCATGTTCATGTGATCGGATATAGCAGTTGATGTATCTTCCAGGCTCGTGCCAGTGAATTCGTGTATTCACTGGGGTTGGTTTGTTAGTCTAAAGTGAATTCGTGCAGTCACTTTAGTCCGTGACTTGTTTCGTCACCTGAGCTTTGCCTGAGTTCGGACCAGGCCGAGATCGGATTGCGTGTAGTCCTCTGACCGATTCGTGTAGCGGTATTGGATGCGCGTAGAGCATTTGTGAACATTTAGTTATCCGGTAATATGAGCGTTGACTCTGTGTGAGATGTGGACCAGTTGTATTTCTTTTCATACATAGATCGGGATTAATATTTTAATTATCTACAATTTGAGACATATGGTATATACATGAGGGTTTCCTTGTTTGGATTATTTCGCTCGACGTACTACGTCTCGAGTTGTAGATTTTTAAGTATTAATCATATCTAGTTGTATGACCTTATGACTTAGATGATTGTTCTGATTACTAGCTGCATTACCTCGTTACCTGATTGATTTTTGGATTCTTCTGATTATCATGTTTTAGTAGTGTTATCGCATGTCGATTTTGTTGCATTTCCAGTTGTTCGTCTCTTTGTCATTTTCTGTTATCGTGTCGTTTTCTGGTTGGGTTTTCGTTCGTTCTTTTCTTTTGTGGGGTCTTGCCGTGTGCCATGCACCCTGACGTACACCTGTTTTCTTTGGTGTACGTCAGACTTAGAGGAAGAACAGTTTTAGCAGGAGCCAGAGGATTCTCAGCAGTAAGGTCTTCCAGATGGAGCAGAAGAAGCCGAAGCTTAGTCATTCCTTTCAGCTTGTTTTGTAGCACTTTCATTTCCTGTTGATCAGTGTATTTTTATATGCTCCAGTATTTCATTCTGATAGTTTTGTATAAGGGCATGTTTGATCCGTATTTTTATGTCTCAGATGTTATCCCATTTGTGATATGATATTTCTTTATTCTGAGTTGTCTATTATATTCTTGCTGATTGTAATCGGGGACCTGTGCCTTTGCATTGTATTATTTTCAGACACTTAGCGTATTGGATTGAGAAGAAAAAAATGGTAGTGTATATTTCTTCTCAATCTAATACGTCGCGGGCTTATTCACGTTCCGATTCCCGGGTATTTTGGGAAGCGGGGCGTGACAGGTCAAGATATAAATTTCGAATGCTAGAGACCGATGATAGGAGGGTAATCCAGAATAGTAGGGTCATGGGTTTGTTTGCTCAAGAATGTTTTTCAAGTATATGAGATCAGAACCCAATTCTAGCTGGCATACTATATTATGGTCAATTAGAAGATATTATTAAGGTAATTTACGAGTTTGGTAAACCAAAACAATGTAGTTATACGATGTTCAAGGTTCGGTGGTATCCTACAAAAAAGCAAAATGATCATTATGGATTTACACTTGTCAATCTCCATCGAGAAGTATATACGGATAAGAAATTCATTTTTGCAGAACAAGCTGATCAGTGCTTCTTCGTGAAAGATCTAAATATCATGTTTGGTTGGGTGGTTTTATACAAGGAGCCAAGATCTCTTGTTCTTCCTAATAACAATAAAAAAATATTAAAGAAAGTAAAGATAATTATAGTGAATCAATTAGGTCATCTGATGACGTTTGGCAAGAATTCTCTTACACACAGAATGTGGTGCTTGATGTAGGTATGAGCTACGTTACGCTCCATTACCGATAGTCAAAATATAATAATAAAATCAATAATACATTTTATAATATATAATCTTTTAGTAGAAAAAAATACCATTGGAATTTAAATACTAATCCATTAATAAGGGAGTATATATATAATATATATATATATTATATATTATATATATATATATATATATAAATATATAGAATATATATATATATAGAATAAAAACATATATCAATTGTAAGGATCGATGGCTATTTAGAAATACGTAGAAATTCGGAGGGGAACGTATGAAAAAAACACGTAAACTAATCTTCAAACTATATTCATGCGAAAGATGGGGCGCAACAATAAAGGAAGGAGGAGAGGCTGTCCAGGATCGGTCGATAGCGCATCGATGTCGTACTACTGCAGTCGCCTCTCACTGGCGTGAGATTGCAGCAGCTAGCAGAAAGCAGCAGATTTAAGTGTTTGTTGGTGGTGGAGACGATGATCATGCGCCAACATGCATCATGCGTACTACGCCGCGGCTCTCTTTGATCACACCACCGCCACCATCTTCTCGCGGCAGCAGCAGAACGCCCCCTGCTCGCCTCGCCTCCCCATAAACAGCTCTCCCTCACGTACGTAAGCCTCTTCCTTTAATCTACTTTCCTTTTTTATTTTTTGTTTTGATTTGATTTGATTTTCGTTTGGAATTGATACTCACGATAACAAGCCACAAACCCTAATACCCCAGGGCAACGGGAGAGAGATAGAGAGAGAGAGAGAGAGTGAGGACACAGATTCCGATACAACTTATGAAGGCAAGCCCGCCCTGCAGAGAAGAAAAAGAAGCTAATTGATATATAAGCCATTCAGCATTTGGTTGGTTGATGGTGATGGCGGCTCCTCCGCTGTCGTCGACCACCTTTGCCTTCAGTACTTTCTCCTCCTCCTTCTTCTTCTTTGCAGTCTCATCCCTTCTCATCAATCCCGCCGCTTCAGACACCAAGTCAGCCGATGGTACCTACACCCTCCCTTCTTTCCTTTTCTCTTGTTGGTGTGCTCCTTAACACTCGCGCGCGCGCGCTCACACACGCTAACTAACTGATATGTAATTTTCTTGCTCTTCTTTCTTGGCTGCAGTTTCTGCCCTTAATGTCATCTTCCAAAGCTTAAATAGCCCTTCTCAGCTCTCTGGCTGGAAGTCCAATGGAGGAGACCCTTGCGACAAACCCTGGCAAGGAATCACCTGCTCCGGCTCTTCTGTCACTGAAATGTATGTATCACATCTTCTTCTTACGGCGCATCTCTGAAGATAGGCGGAAATCACCGAGCCATAATATGCTTTTCCTGTTTTATTTTGCTCAGCAAATTGCCAGGTCTTGGCTTGTCTGGTACCTTGGGCTATCAGCTCTCCAGTTTGACATCTGTAACCTACTTGTAAGACACTCTTGTAATTTTTTTCATTTTCTTTTAGTTTTTGATATTTCACCCAAGTGCAACTGCTTTCTCTGTCATAGTGCAGTGATTTCAGCAAGAATAATCTTCATGGTGATATTCCATACCAGCTCCCGCCGAATGCACTTCACATGTAAGCCACTCTTTCATGTTCGCAAATATTTCTAAATGAGGAGTTGTTAGGCTAAAGGGTTCTCCTCACACGCAACTTGTGGAATAAATTGTTAAATTTGTCAATGTGTAATAGATTTACAAACACAACTAGAATTGCTAGTTTTACGTGCTCTTGGTCGTTGTCAGATCTAGATGTCTATATGTTCATTTTAAAGCCATGAATTCCTGTAGATTAGCTTTCTGAGAATTCATTTCCTTGTTGATTTTTATCATATCTGTAGATGACCAACCTTAAGCATCCTAAGAGTTATTATTTGCCTGCCTCCCTATGCTTATGCCTTAATCTTCAATGTGCAGAGATCTTGCGGGGAATACATTAACTGGTGGGATACCTTATTCGATCTCACAAATGACTGACCTTGAATATCTGTAAGAACGCTTCACTGCCGTCCACTCCTGATTTAATCATTCCTATTGTCCTTTAACCAAGGGAAGTTTGTGATGGATTGCAGAAACCTTGCCGGTAATCAGCTTAAGGGCCAAATGTCTGACATGTTTGGGAAACTACAGAAGATGTCCGAGCTGTGAGTTAACTTATACTACTTCCTTTCATGCTCATATAGCATTATGAATTTTCAACTTTACATCATTCGTCTCCTTTCCAAAAGTTTCATTTTTCAGATGTCGAGGTAATTCTAGCCGTTATAATGTGCTTGACAACTTACCTGGAATCTTGTGAAACCTTTTCAGAAAATTTCAGAAGTTTTCTGATATCTATAAATTCATAAGGACATATTGTTTCTATTCAGGTGAGCCATAGGTTTCCCAGAGTTGCATGTTTATCTATTGTCATCATAGAGCGACCAAAGTTAAGCAAAAACAGATAAAAGAACCTTGCTAGTACATTTCAGAGTATCTTGTACGCATGCACTTAATGTGTTCCTTATCATTTCCCCCCACGTACGGTACATGGAGTTATGTGCCTTGGTAGGGCTGTCCCTGATAGGTGCAGGTTGCCTAAGTGGGTTGAAGATAGTGCATCAATAAGATGAGTTCTCTACTGTCAATTGTTTAGTGTGGTTCTATGAAACATTCGTGAGAGTAGATTGTTATGTAGTGATGGTGTTTAATAATTTACTTTCCAATTAGAATAATCTTTAATTAATCAAATCCTCATTTCGCTTCTATCATCTGATTTCTCCACGGATTACATGTTCACATGATTTTGACACCATTATGTGTCTATTGCCCCTAAATATTTCAGCTATAATCAATCACGTTTTCTGGCTTTGATGTCAATGCTATCGCTCATACTCTTTTTTTGCATTTTCATTGCGAAACTAAAGTCTGTGGTGCATGTGCTTGTCCATTTATTGATGTTCTCAAGTCATGACATCAGGGATCTGTCATTCAACCACTTCTCTGGTGACCTGCCTGAAAGTTTTGGATCTCTCAGAAACCTTAAAACTTTGTAAGTAACAATCTTCGTTCGATATATCAACAAATTGTTTCAAGTTTCTTTGGCCTTAATAGTGGTGGTATTTTTCTTGCGCAGGCATCTGCAGAACAACCAGTTTAGTGGTTCGATAAATGTTCTTGCTGATCTCCCACTTGATGATTTGTAAGTATGCTATTAGGTGCTCATGAAACTTCTGTTTCTTCTTACAATTACATCAATATTTTAGTACTTCAACTTGAAACTTACCTAGTTATGTTGCATTATATAAAATAATCTCTGCCTAATTCTTAATAATGTAAAGATGCTTTGCATAAAATATGAGCAGCAATGCAATTGCAATGGAAGCCTTTTGTTTTTGGGGGTGGGGGTAAGCATAGTAGGCACCAGCTAATATAGGTCTAGCTAGTTCATACTTGTTTCCTTTTACCAGATGTACAAATATGAATATTTATTCAGATATTGAACTTACTATAAATATCTGGAAAAAAGGAATGTTGGTCTGGGCTTTATGAATTTGACTAAGAGACTTAATAAGAGCCCCAGTGATCTCTTTTATTTATAGTACAATAATCAAAGCATGTGATATCAATTCTCGAGAATATTTTCAACATATTCAGATATTCCTCTGTACTCCATCAGCATATTCCTATCATATTCTTTAACACTTTCCCTCGAGCTACAACATATACCTTATACACGCCCTTCTTGTTAAAAATAAAGTGCACACCCACGTTTGAACTTCCAAGAGTACTACTCAACATGTCTGTCAATTGATGGTTAGAAGATACATCCTTGGTTTGAATGATTTGGTCCTCCAAATCTTTAGAACATGACAATTAACTTCAATCAACTTGATACTGTCATGATAAAAATGGATTTTCTATAGTATAAATTGCTGCTTGGCTGTCACAATGTAACCACATTAGACTCAGAAAGCAAAACCCAATTCATGAAGTTCTTGTATGAATACTAATGCATGTGTCGCACTGGTCATTGCTATGTACTCCGAGTCTAGAAACAATTGCCTTAAAGAAACATAGTATCCTGTAGTAGATCTTTTGTTGACTGGCAAAGCTGTCCAATTTGCATCAGAGAAAGCTGCAATGCGACCATTATCCTTTTCCTGAAGCGCTAAGTATTTGTAATATATGTACTGCTGCATCCTAATGACTTAACTGAGGAGCAGGTAAATGCTTGCTCACAATACTTACTGCATAAGGAATACCTGATGATGTCATAGCTTGATAATTTAGCTTATCTATCACTCTTTTATACCTTCCTGCATTATTAAGAGGGTTCCTCTGGTCTAGTAGCAGTTTGCAATTAGACTCTATAGCTGTGTTCTGTTGCATCCTAACATCTCTGTCTTGGGAGTAGATCTAGAACATTCTCCCCAGTTGAGAGTGGAAGATTTCTGCCTTTCATACGGCCAGCCTGATATCCAAGAAATACCAAAAGTAGCCTAGATTTTGGTCTATTAATGTTGCTGCAAATATGATTTTAAATCATTAATTCCTTGCGCATTATTTCTTTTGATCACCATATCATCCACGTATACTACAAGAGCAATCTTTCTAGCATGCCGACTAATTAAACTGAATTATTTTTTGTGTGCGCCGCAAATCCAAGCTCTTGAACTGTTGTAGCAATCTCCCAAACGAAGCTCTGAGAGATTGCCTTATACCATATAAGGACTTCTTCTTTTACAAACTTTCCCTATCCTACTGGCATGCCTGGCGATTGCTCTGCATAGATCTCTCAATCAAGAAAACCATTTAGGAAGGAGTTCTTGATGTCATGCTGATAGAGTGATCAATGGTAGATTTCAACAAGAGACACAAGCGGTCTTATTGAAGTCATCTTAGCAACAGGGAGAATATCGGCTCCAGAGGGCTCCGTAGAATAGGATAATGCTCAGGTCTCTCTATGTGTGTATTCCTCATTTTTTTTACTAGTATAACGCACGTGCTTTTCACGTAAATGTACATGTTTTTAAGTTTTAATTTTTTTATTGAATAGTAAAACTATGTGTTAATAAATAAAATTGTATAATAAGATTGCTTAAAAAGAAATATATGAATTAATTATTATTGTATAGTTATTGTAATTGAATGTTTTTCTTCTAATGATCGCATAGTGTTAACCTTTTTTCAAATAAGTCCCCATATCTAAAATTATTTTTTAATAAAACTGTTAATTCTATAAGTTCTCTTAAATATGCCACTCCTACTTGAAATTTTTTAACTTAACTCTAGATTAACTAAGTTGTCATTAATTTTGTTAGCTTTTTTCTGATGTTCTCTAGATAGTTATACTTGATACCTGCAACATATTGCAATAGTTACTTCTCATTATAATTATTTAATATGGTAAATTACACTAAACATTTATGAACTTTCAGCCCATATGAACTTTTAAAATTACACAAAACCCCTAATGGATTTTTTTTGTTTCAAAGAAGACTCCTAATAACCCCTATAAATTAGAACCAGAAAATGGCATGAAAAGACACTTTGAAAGTTATTGGGAGTTGGTGTAATTTATCTAAAAGACATTTGGGGCTTTCTACAAAAGTTATTACGGGTTTAGGGATTTTAAAAGTTCGTAGGGTTTATTTACTACAAAATAGTGAAAGTTCATGGGGGCTTACTGTAATTTACCTTATTTAATATGAAAATTTCTAGTTCAAGTAATACCATTAAAATAATTATACTGTCTATATATTATAAAATATTTATCTAATTTAATTTTTTAACTATGCTCTTAAATAATTTAGCACTATAAATATTTTTAAATCTTTATTATACTATCGTTAACAATTAATAGTATTATTATTAATATTAAATAATATTTTTTGTAACAAAGTTAGTTTACAATCATTACCAAGTATAGATTATTCAGTATCATCTAATAATCCTTAAGAAAATACTCTAAAAATAATTTAAAATTTATTTATTTAATTTATTTAATAATATAATACTAAATAAATAGTGTAATTCATAATTTATGTGATACTATTAAAATAGTTATACTATTTATGCGATTCAAAATTTATTCTATTTATTTTATTGCTCATTGAATTATAGTATATTTCTTAATAGTATTTAGTAATATATTATTCTATTTTATCTATTATTTTAATTATTTTATTATAATTCATAATTAAATATTATATTAATTTAATTGGTTACTGCTAATAACTTTGTATACTTATTTTATAAATTATTTATTTTATTATTTTTAAATAATTAATAGTTATAATATTATTGATAATTATAATTATTTAGGAAGGTGAGGAGATGCATAATTAATAAGAGGTTATATTTAATAAAGGAATAATTATTGATAATGACATAGTTAGAATTTATCAAAATTTGAGAGGGCAAAAAGGGAAATTAAAAGTATTAACACCCTAATCCTCTTTTTATAGTAGCATAGATAATTGACACAATATGTCTATGAATATCCTTTTGGCAGCAGGCAAGCCTTCAGCTTAGGTAGCATACTATCTGGCTTTAATCTAACGGCATAAACACATTGATAACCTATTGCCTTCTTCCCCGGTTGACTATATCCCATGTTTCATTCTGCTTAAGAGCCATAAGCTCTGCCTATGTAGTTTCTCTCCAATCTGGAATAGATGGAGCTCTTGACAAAACCTTGAGAACAGAGGATAAGATACAAAATTGGACAAAGAATAAACTGCACAATGATGTTTACTCTTTCGTAGAGCAGTTCGTTTGCCCTTTCATACAGCAGTATAAATATCCAAGCCAGATTTGACAGACTGACCATGAGATGGCGAAATTCAAATGTATGTAGATTATGAAACAAAAGGAGTATTAGAAGAAGTATTGGAAATACTGGAAGGCTCTGACATATGTTGAATTCGTCTAGAATACACCTTTGTGGGCTATTCATGTTTCAAATCAAGTGTCTAAGTAGAAGTCTGATGAATCAAAAACTAAAAATAGTTCTGATCTGTTTTTGATGGAAGTGATGCATTATTATAAAGGAATGAGAATCAAAGTATAAAAATGATAAATTTCTTCATGCTCAGACAGTAACATCGATTTCCTTTTTTGTGTAAGAATACCCTAAGAATTACTCTTCAGAATTCTAGGGTCAACTTTTGACCTATCTGGAGTATGATGTATAGAAAACATGAACACCCAAAGATCCTAGAAGGTAAAGGAAATAACAATATATTAGGATGTAAAAACATAATAAAATACCTGAACAATAAATGTAGAAGAAGGTATATAGTTTGTAGGATGACCAGCAATTAATACTGGATCTCCAAAATTCTATAGGAACTTTCGTATGTAGAATAAAGTTTGTATTTCTAAATTACGCTCTGCAACACCATTTTCCTGAGGCATGTTAGAACATGAAGATTGATGGAATCATATCATTTTGAGACAAAAAAGATATAAAACAAGAGCTGACATATTGTTTGGCATTATCAGTATGTAGAACTTGAGCAGAAGAATTGAATTGAATTTTCACTTTTGCATTAAAATTTGAAATATAGAAAATATTTTAAAATTATTTTTTTTCATCAAATAAAGTCATGTCTCTTGAGAAAAATGATCTTGAAATATAACAAAATATCTAAAGCGCAAGTTGTGGACCCTAGATATTTTAATGGGTTAATAAAAAGGGTGCTCGCTCTTATTATTGACACATAATGGGTGAGGCTTATGGCTCTATGATGTTCAGGATGTTACCAAAAAGTAATGCATCATTAAACTGTCTTTCTGTATTTATGGGGCTGGGAAGTTCTCAAGTCAAATGTACTTCATTCCCTCGTCCTTACTTGTAGATCTGAATCACTTGCTTTTGTTGTAGATAATTGTTGCCTTCAAGTTTTTTTTATTTGTTATCTCCATAGAAACAAAATCAGTAAAAACAAATTTTACGTTAACAATCTTGAAATTTGCCATGTCCTGAGTATATTATCCTGCACACCATCAACATATTCCTATATATTCCTTAGCAGGATTCAATGTGGATATTAATAACAAGTTATTGAATCTGACTGATCATTAGAGCTAGAAACAAGCTCAGCCTTCAACTGTGGTCCCTTGTGGCCCCTTCTTATATTAAAATAGCCATCTAAACAAAACATAGGAAATCATATTTTGTTATATTTCATGATGCTATACATTGTAAATTGTAATATTACTAAGGCTTAACTCTAAAAACATTAAGACCCTTTCATGTATATCTGCATGTTTTATGTTATTTAGATATCCACTCAGATGCTTTCTGTAGTTAGCATTATAAAAAAATGACATCCATAAACATATGGTTTTGAAAGTGTCCTTATTTGTAAAAAGTACAAATGCCAAATTAAATCCAGAAATAGATTTTGTTAACCGTTTACATACCCTGCTGGAAGACTATTTGGAGCAAGAAAGGGAATCATGGAGTTTGAATTTACCCGATCAGATTGGTTATTTACTAATATATGCCTAATACTTTTATGCTTATGTTTTCTGGAAACTGTCCCTTGTTTAATATTAGAGAATCTTATGGTTATGCATATCTATGTACGTTTTTGATGTCATTGTCTAGTCGTAGCGATCCTGTGGTGAAAACTGGACTATCATCCACCCCATTAGTCGTGGAGCTCCGTATTCCGTTGACTTCAGTCCCTTTTCCTTTGTTTCTAGATTCTTATGCACCGGAAAATTTATCATTTCCTGCTTTAAAATTCTCAAGTGATTACTTCATTGAAGCTGTCAATTAACAAGGATGGTTGTGTGCTGTTTTTTTTTCCAGGAATGTTCAGAACAACCAATTTACTGGCCAGGTTCCACCCAAATTGAAAGATATTGACAATCTACAGTAAGTTAACTATTATGAAAAAGTACACATTGGTCATAGATGGAGCCATAAGCGGTTAAACTGTTGGCTGACAACTATTTTCTTTTCTTTTTAAGAATTGATGGAACTTCTTTATCTGGTTCATCGAGTAGTAAAAAAGGAGGAAAAGCTAAGGGCATGAATATAGCAATCATTGCTGGGGTAGTTATAGCTGTGTTGCTTGTCATTGTGTTGCTACTGGCCGTGCTGAGAAAAGCAAAATCATCTTCAGCTTCATCTCCTTATATTGATGAACACTCTTACCAGAACAGATCATTTACACCTTTAGCTGATAATGAGTTAATAGGTATTTTTTTTCCGTTCAAATGAATTGCTTTTTTTAATTAATTTATTTGTTTAATCATATTATTACATTGAAAATATAATTTTTATATGAAATCCTGGACTCTGTGCTGATACGCTTCCCTTACTTGTTATATATTTTTTATATAGTATAATTTATTAATTTTCTTTGACTTAGGCATACTTCCTGCTGATACTGTGAGTGGAGGTTTCAATTTCTCAATATCCTAACATAAGCTCCCATGGATAGCAAATATAAAGTGGGTTTAAATTCAGCTATTTTCACTTCAGTAGTGGAGCAATGTGATTCCTAATTTTGATGGAATAAAAGTTTTAGGCATCTTGCCTTTGAGTGGGTGAACCCCTGGCTTTGCCTTGAAAGGCTGTTCATCTAGATAATGAGCAAGTACTTGTAGCAGTAAATACCTGCCTGTTCTTTTGTCCTGACTCCTGACCTCTGTAGTGCATTCTGGTCCTCATGCCGCTTTCCGAATCACCCTCCTGTGATGCGTAATCACTACTGAATTATATGAAAAATATTTGATGAATGATCATACATAAAAAACCAATAGAAGAACATACATCATCTCATTTCTAATCTTCATATTATAATTTCATAGTTGTAGTTGGTGATATTTAATTGGAAACTGTACATATTGAGTGAAATGTTGGTAATAATAGAATGCACATATTATTATCAACAAAAAACATGCGAGTGTGTGTGTTTTTTTAATGTACATGGTCCATGTTCTTTGTGTCTGTGTGCATGGGCAGATTCATGTACAAATTAGGAGGGAAGATATACAAAATTACAATCTAAAGTATTGTGAACTTGCAATTTGTTCCCAAATTTTAAAAAAATATTTGCACAACGTTTAGGTTGGAAATTTAGCCTATTTGTCAAGAATATTGTTTTATAATATTACATTTTAATTTTAGGTAAATGGATACTTGTCATCCACCCCCATACTTGCATCCACCCCCCAAGAAAGTTTTCCTACATCCGCCATTCTGTGTGTGTGTAAGCGCAGGAGCGTGCGTGTGAGTTTATAGGGTATTTCCACCAGAATTTCTTTTAGCCCATGCATGCATCGCTTTAAATTATTTATCTCAAGCTCTCATCTGTTAACTATGGAGAATAATTCCAGGGATGTTCTATATTTGAGACTTTTACATTTTGTCCCTTATTACAATTAGAGGTGCCAAATGGACTGGTTTGCCCTAGCCCAACTAAAACTAGTCGGTTTAGGTCCAGGCTTTTGATCTATCTGGTTTAAGCCAAGCCGGGCCCAGCTGAAAATCAGAGTGGAAGGTCAGGGCCCAAAATCTTTCATCAATTATCAGCTGTAAGTGTTCGATATGTTATTAATAAATTACTTTTTAATGATTGTCCTCTCTAGAAGCGTCCATTTTTTTTCTTTCCATATTTAAGTTTATCAGTTATGAATAAATAAATAGATTTCCGATTACCATCCAAATCATAGTATTTTTAAAATTAACC